GTGCAAAAACTTTTCAGTAGGATGAGATCTCAGTTGTTGATTCTTTGAAGTGTTTCCCATGCAGTTTGGTTTTTGTTCATAAACTCTCTGCCTACTCCTATGTCTTCAAGATTTTTACCTACTTTCTCTTCCAATAGATTTAGTGTTTCTGTTTTAATGTTGAGATCTGTGATCCATTTTGACTTGAGTTTGGTGCCTGGTGATAGACTTGGGTCTATTTTCAGTCTTTGGCAGGTGGCAAGCCAGTTTTTCCAGCACCATTTATTGAAGAGGCTATCGTTCTTCCAGTGAACAAAGAATGAATTCTAAGGAACAATAGAGGTTAGGAGTAGGAAAATTTATTGGAGAAATGGAATGGTAATAGGCATGGAGGTAGGAATAGCTCCTGAGATAGGAGGGGTCCCAAAATAGGTTGCCTAAAACGTGTTTTATGTAATCATAAAAAGTACAGGTATCAAAAGTATTATCTAATTTATTAACTAATGAGGGAAACAGTAAGATGTTAAGGCCAATGCAAATGAAAATGTAGAAGCTAAATGTTGATAGTCGATTTGATAAAGAAATGTTAAAATTTCTAAATTATATATAAAATGAATTAATGTCCTAAAGTGCAATAAGTTATATAAACTTTGGAGTTATCTTTTCTATTAGACATAAAATATTTGTATCTCTACTAAGTAAAAATCTACATGTTAACCTGTGCCCTGTAGTGTTATAAAAGTAGTCCTATCACTTGAACTATAAAAGTATAAACAAACCAGAACTGCATTAAGATCACCCAATAATTTCTTTTACCTGTTTCTAAAAGTGTTAGATGACTTTTTCTGACAGATTGTAGTCATCAATTTAGATTTGGTTGCCAGGAAGTAAAATGCATTTTGCAAGTGTTGAAAATATAACTCTATAATGAGAATAAATGTAAATTCTAAAATCTAGCATATGTATATTAGGGGTAGAGCAGGGGTCAAGTTCCAAGTTTCATAAGCACATTTTTTAATGAAACCATATCAGCATGAATAATTCTCATTACAAATCTTTTTATTTTTACAGAAATTCTATGGAACTGTAGTTGGTTCTACTTTGTAATGTCTCTATCTGAAAAGCAAAGTAAGGACAGAAAAAATGGAGGAGGTAGGTGGACTCAGGAAAGTCTATATGTTCTTTTTATTGTCTCTGAAAAGTGTGTCTGTGTGTTTGTGTCCATTCAGGTGGGTATTAGAAATAAATACAGCAGAGAAATAGACCCAGCCTACCAAACTACGAGCCTACTGAACAAATGACCAGGAAGAGAAATATATTTGCAGAAGTAAATATTTCTTACTTAACAAATACAAGTGCTCCTGTTTTGTCATCTGAGAATTCTAATTTTGTGTAGTTATAATTTATCTTTTATACTTTCCAGTATTTGGAAATTCACTGGGAAACCTGGAATTCTTTCCCTTCTCTTTATCCTTCACAACTGTCTCCTGCTCAAAAGAAGGGATCATGGTGAAAGGAAGTTGCTGAGGCACATAAAGTCCTTAGTTGCAGGCTGCTTATGGACACAACAAATGAATCTGGCTGTGCTGCATAAACAAATCAGAACTGTGTTAAGATCGCCCAATAATATTTCACCTGTTTCTAATATTAGATGATTTTTGTCTGGCAGATTGTAGTCATCAACTTAAATTCGATTGCCAGGAAGTAAAATACATTAGGAAGAATTTCCATGAAAGTCCAGGACCTCCTTTGGTGAATCCAGGTGCTAACGGCAGCTAGAGCACACAATCCATCTTTCAAAATGGAACTGCCTACCTAGTTAAAAAAAAATCATTCTGGCATAAAGTTTTGAAAAAGGAAGCCAGAATTTAATTCCAGGTTTATGCTTCCTTTTGAGATATGGCAAAGGAGTAGAGAATGAAATTAGTTTACTGATTAAAATGTTTTACATTCTTTGTTTCCTGCCTTTGGACAGTTGTCTGACTCCTTCCTGGAGGAAGCCCGTTCCAAAGGTACAGGCCCCACTTGTCCTGTACAGAAAATATGCAGAACACAATGCTTCAAGGAATACGAAGTTCTGGGCAAATGGAAAATGCGGACATTTATTCGTTTATTCAACAAATTTTTTTTTTTGTCTTTTTGAGACAGGGTCTCGCTATGTAGTTCAGGCTGGCCTTGAGCTCACTTTGTAGCCCAGGCTGGTCTTGAACTTGCAACGATCCGCCTGCCTCAGTCTCCCGAGTACTGGGATTACAGGCGTGCGCCACCATGCCCGGCCTATTCAACAAATATTTATTGACTACTGGCCACTGTGGTAGGGACAGACAAAACAATGACAACAAAACTAGACAGAATACTGACCGTTTGGGAGATTATCTTAGGAGGGTTATCATTTAATTAATGAATAGAACTTTAAATAATATCGCAGAGAAATACCAAATTATGTATGCAGTAAGTGCCGTGAAATAAAGATCACACAGGAGGCACAACGGTCAAGAGAGAGGATCCCAGAGATGGATGGTCTCAGTGTGAATTCTAGTTCCACCACTCACTGTGTTATCTTGGGCAAGTCTCTTAATTTCTCTGTGCTACCTCTCCTCATCTATAAGGTGGGGATGAGAAGAGAGTCACCAGTAAGGTTGCTGGATTCAGTGAGGTTGTATTATAAAGCACATCTGCTACCTGGTGAACAGTTGGTAAATGGCTGTGGTAGAAAATAATTTGTAAGAGCTTGATGCTTTCATTCAGGAAGATCATGAAGAACTTCAGTGTTTATAACTGTGGTTTATTTCAAAAGCCAAAAATTTTACTGAGGAAAGAATTGAAACCAGTTTTCCTGGCATTAAGCCCTTTCACTACCTACTGCAGGTGGAGTTAATGCTCTGATGCTTTGACCAGTGAGCAGTTACTATTCGTCCACTCAAGATTTTGCTCTATTGGCCAGCATCGTCAACAAATTATAACACTGGCAAACCTGTTATTTGGCAGGTATCACCACTTTGACTCTTCAAAATAGTCAGGCCTATTCTGGTTGGAAAATTTACATCACACAGACTGAATTTGCTTATCTGCCCTTCCAACTTTTTACTGCCCTCTAGTTCAGGCGTTCCTCGCTTCAGATGTTGGCTGTATAATAGCAATCTTTTAAGTGGTTTTTGTGTGTGTATGCAGTCTGTTCCCCTGTAAATCCATCATATTAATATTTCTGAAATCTTCCTAGGGATCCTCATTAGCCTAACATTGTGATCTTATCTCCTGCCTCTTTCAGAGGCTTCATACCTACTGCGCTCTCGCGCAGCTTGTCCGTGCCGTGCCTTTCACTGTGTTCTTCCTGGGTATGCGCCCTGTGCATCCCTGTCCACCACTTCCTTCATGAAGGCGTCTCCAACACTTTCGCCTCTTCTTGAATTCCTATAGTGCTAGGTTGCTACAGTTTCTTTTAAAATAACAACTGTATTGCAACATAACTCATATGCCACAAAATTCACTTTTTTTTTTTTTTT